AAGTGATAAGCTTGATTTTCACTAAAAGCTATAGTAACTAGTGATTAGTTTGAAATTTTCCTGTAAATTAAGACATTAAATAAAGTAAATATTAGAACTTAATATATTCATTTCAAGACTAAGTCTCCCCTTTTTCTGTTTTCATTGATGAATAGGTACATTAAATTTCCATTAATTTAAATTTCTGAAATGGTAAATTAAAAAAAATGTAATCAAAATTACTTAAAAGATAAAAGTAAATATTAAAGCTTATATTCATTTCAAACTAAGTCTCTCTTTCTTGTTAAATAGTTGATAAATAGGGTTATTTTCCCATTAATTTCAATATTTCAGAGGGTAAACATAAAGTTATTAATGATTAAAATTACTTAAAATTGCTTGAAAGATAAAAGTAAATATCAAAGCTTATACTGATTTTAAGATTAAGCCCCCCCCCCTTTCTTATTTTCATTGATAAATAGGGTTAAATTTCCATTAATTAAAATTTTTCAGATGGTAAAGTTATTAAAATTATTCAAATCTTCTTAAAAGTTAAATTAAAATTCTTTGAATATTATAAAGACTGAAGTAAAATCTGTTCTCATTCTAAAGAAAGGTTCTTTTCTATTTTCATTACTTCCTGTGTGTGCATGATGGGTTCAGTTTTTTTGTGTGGACATTTTGTAATTTATGTTATTTTGTACTGTATATTCATTTTATGTATATCCCCTGTTAATCTAAGTATTTTGTTGGTTTATTAAGTAGGACTTGTGATCTTGTAATTGTTAAAATTAGATTTTAAAATTTCATATTTCTTAAATGCATGGGGTATTCTGATTTTTCCTCTCCTTATTTCAGTTCCTTAAATTTTTAGATTTGATATCTATAATTAATTAAGATAAAAATAAGGCCCCTTTTCTCTATCGCGAATTTCTCATGAAGGCTAGTGGCTAAATATCTCAACTCATGCACACACCGTTATTTAGCCACATGCATTCGTGAGAGTAACTAAAATATTAAAATCATAAATTATTTAAATCTAATTTCCAATTTTTACTCAATTTTTTAATTTCTTCATTATATTTTCCATATATACCGGTAATTTATAGCTTATAAAGTTTTCTTATCCCCAAGGTTCTGTTCACATTTGAAGCTTATTGTTTAACTGAGATTATTTCATTTATTATTAATTTTTGTAATATTTAATTAAGTAATTATAAGTATTTTGTCATTGTTTAATTATATAAACAGGTTTCAGTTTCCCTCTCTTAATTGTTATCTGTAATTTAAGTAAAGCTCAACAGAAGTAAAAAGTTCTTTTTTCGTCTTTGTGTAAATAAGTTTAAGACATCAATAATAAATTTCAGAAAATAAATTTCATAATTAAATTTCCCTTATAAAATCTTTTGATTAGGAGTAAGATTACTGTAAAAGTTAAATAAATCTAAATGTTAATGATTGCAGGTGGGATCCCATTTCTTTTCACTTTTGATTTAAGTAAAAGTTCCTTCTCTGAGAGTCAATATTTGATACTTTGTGGTTGATGTATTTTGTACTGAGTTATGATTATTTATGTAAAGATTGTCGCAGATCGGGATAATTGGTAGCTAGACCATTGACATATATACGCTTACCGATTCAAATTTTTGATTAGGATTTAATTTTATGAATTCCATCGTGGAGAAAATGAAATTTAGTGTCTGTACTTTGTATAATGAATATTTTTTTACAAGTTGTTTTGTTCCTATTTTCCAAAAATAAAATGGACACAATTCATACCTTCAATTTGCTCACCGCATTGCGCTCGCTCACCACGAATTTTCCATGAATTCTGACGCTTCGTATGCTTTATCAATTTAAATCTGCTGATTATAAGCAATGATCAATTCAGAAAATTTCCATAATGTTCAACACTTTTATAAATGTATTGATGTGTAAAATTATAATCACTGTGTCTGTTTGTCTCAGCCTGAGTCCATACCAATCGTTAATTTGATGCATGTCTTTGCTAATGCATATATGAATAGCATTTTCATGCTTTAATGACTTTGGTTAATGAACTTAAATTTTGATTTATCCTCAGCTTCTTACAAGCAATGAACAAACCAAACTTGATGCTTCTATGGATGCTTCCTCTGATGCTGTATCTGACCTACATGTCTTGATTTATTGACTCAGATTATTTTCATTATTTTAGATTAGTTTCAAACTGATCTAGTTCTTTATCATGTATCTTAGGATGCTGAATCCGATGCTTACTTTGGATGCTGCATATGACCTACTTTTCTTGCCTTACTTGTTCAGAGCTCAGATTATTTTCATTATTAGATTGGTTCCAAACTTATCTAGTTCTTTATTGTGTATCTTAGGATGTTGACTCTGATGATTTGGATGCTACATATGACCATTATTTCTTGCTTTACTGGCTCAGAGCTCAGATTATTTTCATTATTTAGATTAGTTACAGACTGATCTTATTCTTTATCATGCTACTTTGAATGTTGACTCTGATGCTTACTTTGGATGCTGCACATGACCTACATTTCTTGCCTTACTTGCTCAAAGCTCAGATTATTTTCATTATTAGATTGGTTCCAAACTGATCTAGTTCTTTATCATGTATCTTAGGATGCTGACTCTGATGCTTAAGTTGGATGCTGCATCTGACCTACATTTTACACTTGTACAGTGTATTGCCTAATCCTGGCACAGTCTCCTGGTCTGCTCTCATGCTGCCTCTTACAATGTTGCATCTGCTGCATACATTGAATACTATATTTAACCTACATTTAAGGTGTTACCAGGAGAAAGATAAGGTTTAGGTGCATTTTTTTCTTTTTACATAAAAAGAATTCTCTATACATTGTTTGAATGTATGTACAAGGTTCTACAGTTTTTGTATTTTTCATCTCTGTCAAGTGTATTTTTTGTATTTAATTTGCATGTATTTGTTTTGTGTTCAATGTCTGATTTTCAATGTTTATTGTTTTCAATATAATGTTTGAATGTCCCATCAGCACACACATTATGTTTTTTTCATCCACCAAAACCCTCGCCTCGCCTCAGCAGCTCTGTCCAGACGTAGATGAAAAGTGAGTGGTTTGTTTTCAATATTTGGGGCCTCGCTATGATAATGATCAGTTTGTCCGTCTGTCTGATATTGGTTACCAGAATATCCCCCTTTGACTTAATCTGGTTCAAACTGCAGCTGCCTACAATGAATCAGTTTTCTAAGTAAAAGGCCAAAGCACATCTGCATGTAATCCTTATCTGGAGCATATTTTCTTTCATTAGCCCTTTCTGGCTTATGTTTCCCCTATATATAGTGTCAAGTGGTATAGGATGTGCAGTAACGAACAGCTTCTAGTTCAGAAGTCAAGGTCTTGTCATCATCATTAGTGAGCTCGAGCATGTTTCTTGCCTCTGTTTAGAATCCTTGAACTAGAGGAGCGTACTTTCTTTTATTAGCCCTTTCTGGCTTATGTTTCTCCTTATATATAATGTCAAGTGGTAAAGGATGTGCAGTAACGAACAGCTTCTAGTTCAAAAGTCAAGGTCTTGTCATCTTCATCGATCATTAGTGAGCTCGAGCATATTTCATTCCTCTGTGTAGAGTCCTTGAACTAAAGGTGCATTTTTTTTTTCATTTAGCCCTTTCTGGCTTATGTTTCACCTATATATAGTGTTAATTGGTAAAGGATGTGCAGTTATGAACAGTTTCTAGGTCAGAAGTCAAGGTCTTATCATCTTTATCATTGTGAGCATATTTCTCTCCCCTCTGCGGAGTTCTTGAACTAAAGGTCAGCAGTAAACAACACTTCTGTTTATCTGATAACATCTCCCAGGGTTTATGGTTGGATATAATTTTTATCCTAAGGTTTGTGTTTTTTTATAACCAGGCCTTGGCTCGATTCAGCCTATATTTACTCAGTAACCCACAGAATTCCAATATGTTTATGGTGTACTTCAGCTACAAACCAAGTCTTTGGTCATGTTTCAAGGTCATAGGAGACATCTGTGTGAAATCATGGTCATTATTTTGTGTTCCCTTGAGCTTCATCTCATACATCTCCCAGGGTGCCTTTGGATTAAAGGTGCAAGTCAAATGTCAAGGTCCTTTACAATGCCCTCTCATCCTGATGTCCTTTAGGTATAGTGAGGCCCTTTGAGATGGGCACCAACTCATTGATGTTAAGGTGTATATATAGCATCATGCTGTTGGGATTCATCTTATATGGGGAAAAATACAAAAACCAAAAAAAAAAAAAAAAAATACAAAAATAAAAAAAAAAAAAAAATACAAAAACCAAAAAAAAAAAAAAAAAAAATACAAAAACCAAAAAACCAAAAAAATTTAAATATGCAGTTGAACTTTGGTATCTCGAACATTAATATCTTGAATATCATGGATAAGTTTAAGTGATTTGGAAGTCTTTATGACCGCTATTCTTAAAGTATTGTACCCTGAATGCTAGTATTTGGAATCCCAACTTATTTTTTAAAAATTTCATTGTCCCTATGAGTTCGAGATTATGAGGTTTGGCAGTATAGATATTAATGTATATACATTTATTTAATCTTACAGATGCATGGACAAGCTTTATTTAATCTTACAGATGCAGGGACAAGCAGTATTTAATCATACAGATGCAGGGACAAGCAGTATAAAATCTTACTGACAAGCTTTATTTAATCTTACAGAAGCACTGGGAAAAGCAGTAAGAAATCTGACAGAGAAGCAGGGACAAGCAGTATTTAATCTAACAGACAAGCTTTATTTAATCTTACAGAAGCACTGGGAAAAGCAGTTAGAAATTTGACAGAAGCAGGGACAAGCAGTGTTTAATCTAATGGACAAGCTTTAAATCTTACAGAAGCAGGGACAAGCAGTATTTAATCTAACAAACAAGCTTTATTTAATCTTACAGAAGCAGGGAAAAGCAGCATTTAATTTTACAGATGCAGGGATATGCAGTGTTTAATTTTACAGCTATAGGGACAGGCAGTAACCAATCTTACAGATGCAGGGACAAGCAGTATTTAATTCTTTATTTAATCACAGAATCACAGGACAAGCTGTACCCAGACAGAAGCAAGCAAATCAACTAATGCTACAGAAGCAGGGACAAGCAGTGTTTAATCTTACAGAAGCAGAAACAGAGACAATCAGTACCCATTTCTACAGAAGCAGAGACAAACAACACAATCCCATAGAAGCAGAGACAAGCAACACCAATCCTATACAGAAGCAGAGACAAGCAACACAAAATCCTATACAGAAGCAGAGACAAGCAACACACAATCCTATACAGAAGCAGAGACAAGCAACACACAATTCCACAGAAATAGAGACAAACAGCACACAATCCTACAGAAGCAGAGACAAGCAACACACAATCCCACAGAAGCAGAGACAAGCAACACACAATCCTACAGAAGCAGAGACAAGCAACACACAAGCAAAACACTATTTCTACAGATACAGAGACAAGCAACACACAATCACACAGAAGCAGAGACAAGCAACACACAATCCCACAGAAGCAGAGACAAGCAACACACAATCCTAAAGAAGCAGAGACAAGCAATACACAGAAGCAGAGACAAGCAACACATAATCCTACAAAAGCAGAGAAAAGCAACACACAATCCCACAGAAGCAGAGACAAGCAACACACAATCCTACAGAAGCAGAGACAAGTAACACACAATCCTACAGACGCAGAGACAAGCAACACACAATCCGATACAGAAGCAGAGACAAGCAACACACAATCCAATACAGAAGCAGAGACAAGCAACACACAATCCTAAAGAAGCAGAGACAAGCAACACACAATCCAATACAGAAGCAGAGACAAGCAACACACACTCCTATACAGAAGCAGAGACAAGCAACACACAAGCAAAACACCAATTCTACAGATGCAGAGACAAGCAACACACAATCCTATATAGAAGCAGAGACAAGCAACACACAATCCTACAGAAGCAGACACAAGCAACACACAATGCCCAATCCTACAGAAGCAGAGACAAGCAACACCCAATTCTACAGAAGCAGACACAAGCAGCATGCAATACTACTGAAGCAAAGACAAGCAATATCCAATCCTAAGGAAACAGCTATAAGCAATATCCAATGCTAGAGAAGCAGAGACAAGCAACACACAATCCTACTGAAGCAGAGGCAGGCAACACACAATCCTACAGAAGCAGAGACAAGCAACACACAATCCTACAGAAGCAGAGACAAGCAACACACAATTCTACAGAAGTAGAGACAAGCAACACACAATCCCACAGAAGCAGAGACAAGCAACACACAATCCTACAGAAGTAGAGACAAGCAACACACAATTCTACAGAAGCAGAGACAAGCAACGCACAATCCAATACAGAAGCAGAGACAAGCAACACACAATCCTATACAGAAGCAGAGACAAGCAACACACAATCCTACAGAAGCAGAGACAAGCAACACCAAATCCTACAGAAGCAGAGACAAGCAACACCAAATCCTACAGAAGCAGAGACAAGCAACACCAAATCCTACAGAAGCAGAGACAAGCAACACACAATTCCACAGATGCTGAGACAAGCAACACACAATTCTACAGAAGCGGAGACAAGCAATACCCATTTCTACAGATGCAGAGACCATCAACAATTTGTTATGCCAAAATCCCTTTTTTAAAAAACCTCATCTTTTGACCTTTGAATTTGATCCTTTAGACAATTCTACTTAAGTAAAGACTTGGATTAAGATGTTAGCAAGATTACAGAGAGCTGAAAAGAGTTAAGTTACATTCTTTACTCCATACACTCTGAGAGATTCAAGAACTTTCTCACTTGATTAAGTCTGATTTTACCTCTTGTTTAAACAGGTAGTGTAAGACTGGAATTCATGTTTAAGAGCATGACTGTCATCTTCAACTAGAGTGCTAGGAGGAAGGATAAACAGTGGCCTGACCTAATGGTAAGGGTAAGACACAAAAATTCTCTTTTAATGTTCCCATTATCTGAGATTCAGGGTAAATTGCTTTCTTGTCTATCCCTCTGTCTGTTTGTCTGCAGAAACTTTAACCTTGACCCTTACTTTGAAAAGTATGTGCTACGGCCTTTGCATTTGATTTGTATTTCTTGTGACGAGCCCTTTCTAAGGGTATCAATATCTCTGACCTGTTGGCCTGGAGTGGATTATTTGAAAACTTTTTAAAATAATCTTGTCCATAACGTCTGAATGCTTGGTTCAATGGCTTCCACATTACACATTTGTTTTTCTTGTGCCAAAATCCCTTTCTCTAATGCCAAGCAAAACCTCATGCTTTTGACCTTTGAATTTGACATCCGTTAGAAAACTGTAACTTATGCCATAGTTTCTCAATGATTGTAGTTAGGGCTCTAATTTTCACATGTAAATTAGTTATGCTAAGTCCTTTCTTTAAGGTCAGACGAGACGTTTCCCCAAAATCTGTTTTATATATTCCATCATGTATGAAAAATATACAATATTTTAATTACTTTCTGATTTCTAAACCGGTTTCTAATTGTTTTTTAAAAAATTTGTGACAATAAAAATGTGATTTTGGCAAATTAAGTTTTTTTCCTAAAGGATTATATAAGAAATGCCATCCTCTGGTATCTCGCACAAATGCCCGGTAAGGTACCTCAATTTTTTGTTAGTAAACATGTTGAAATAGTAATTCTTCAATGACAAAATCTTGGAAAAAATTATCTATTATTGAGGAACATCTCGTCTGTCCTTAAGTTCCTGGATATTTTAGACCAGACTTGACCTTGTAATTTGATTTTCTTTTGAAAAACTGAATTTTTAGTCATAATATGTGAACAGTTGGAGCAGGGCTTTCTTTTTTCATGTGTACTCCTTGTTAAGGTCTTTTCTTTGGGTACCAACATTTACCTTGAAAGACCCGGTAAGATTCTCTCTTTTCTTGTACCACAACCTCCTTATTATAACCACAGCATGAAAAGTGATGGTTATCATGTCTATCTTTTTTTTCTCTATCCATTACATATTGAGAAAGCTATCTAGGGCTGTGTATTGAGCCAAAAATTTTGATCCATTACATAAAGAGGAAGCTATCTCTTATTTGCAACTTTCTAATAATTTCTGAATTAGTAAAATATTTGATGACAGTAAAATTCATGTTCAAAAAAAATTCTCTTTGTATTTTGTAATAATAATTAAAACTTTTATTTCCTTAGAAATAATTATAGTCTTGCTATACTGTATACATATAATCTTTGGAAATTTTCAAAAATGTCTGTCCGATATGTATTGGAAGTTTCTTTTCCCCACGTTTTAAATATATTGAACCCTTTAAGCTATCCCTTCCTTCTCTAATAATTTCATTCCTGAGAATCTTGCTATACTGTAATTTTTTTTAAATTCAACCCTTTAACATTCCTGAGAATTTTTTCATGCTTTTTTCAGGGCGCATATTGTTTTTGTCCTGTTTGTCTCTCTGTTTGTCTGTCTGTTTATCTGTTTGTCTGTTTGTCTGTCTGTTTTCAACTTTAACCTTCGCCTTTTGAAAGTAGAGATAGAGACTTCATATTTGGTATGCTTACTCCACTAATAAAGCACTTTCAACTGACACCAAGATCAATGACCTTTTGACCTTGGCTGTGACCTCTTTGCTAAAAATAGCTTTTTCAAACTTTCGCCATAACTTTGGAATCGTGAGAGGTAGAGACTTCATATTTGTAATGCATACTCCACTAATTAAACACTTTCAACTGACACCAAGGACTATGACCTTGTGACCTTAACTGTGACCTATTTGCTAAAAATAGATTTTTCGAACTTTGGCTATAACTTTTAAACCATTGGAGGTAGAGATTTTATATTTGGTATGCATACTTCACTAATTAAGTGCTTTCAAACAACACCAAGGTCAATGACCTTGTGACCTTGACTGTAATCTATATGCTAAAAAAAGCTTTTTTGAACTTTGTTGCTGCCGGACGCATAGTGTTTCACAAACGCATCTTGTTTTTATTATGGCCTAGTTATAACTTTTTGTTTTGTTAACATCTCTATACCTTGTGTTGACAGGAATGAAGGTTAGGCTTGGCTTCTTACCAGGCTTTAAAGATGTCAATATGCTTGGACCAAAGAACCAAGAAGGAGGACAGACTGTAGTTTTACCTAGAAGGGAAGGTAAGATGCAAACACTTATTTTTTATTATTTGTTGACTCTCTGAAAGTTTGTTTTACTTTGCCATTTGACAAAGTCTAAGAACTAATGTTGTCAACAAGCACATGGTAAACCAGTACCGAACACAATTTTCCAAGACGTTCTCTGCTTAAAATTATAGTATCATTAGATGTTCTAAGACAAAAAAAAAATCAACATACATTAACAGGAATTTGAACGGATATAAGTGATAAAAATCTTTGTGTTTTTTTTTTTATAACTTTAACTTCATAAAAACAAAACTTTGACCTAGATGAGTTTGTTGGTTCAACATATATTAAAGCACAATGAAACTTTTTTTTTTTTTTAGAAATTAGATTTATTTGGTTTTTTAAATATTTTACAAATGTAATTTAGACAGAATGGAGCCAGTGATACCCAGAGAGTCCAAGTAAAGGTTGTATATTGACCGTATAAGCCAGACATAAGGTGAGCTGTATTTGTTCTTTTCCATGTGTTTTTTATTCCCTTCCCTCTTGTTCTCCCTTCCCATTCTTACTTACATTACTAACATAACAAACCTTTTTGCACTTTTATTGTTTGTGTCTCTTCAAATATATATTTGCCATGCTTTGTTTGAGAATGATGCATTTTAAAAAGGTACTTTTTAAATTGTTTTGGAACTGTACTAATCCTGTGTCAGTTTCTACCATTATCAAGGGTACTAGGAGGGATGGACAGATGGCAGCCACCAACACACTGAAGAGGAGACCATTGCCAGGATACAGGATATCCACTATACAAACAGGCCAACATTGGCTAAAGTGGTAAGAAACAAGCTGCATTTGTTAAATCTAGATTTTGATTTAATATTTTCACTTTATTCAAGACTGGCATTAGTACTAGTCTGACTCTTGACTCTGTATATTAACAGATTTATAGTTAGCCTCTATCCAATACAAAGAATAACAACACTACTTGTGAAGAAGAGTCCAGAGAGTTGGGATGAACTGAAGTCAACAACTGAATAAAGGGTAAGGTACAAATAGCTGATATCATTTCTTCTGTTAATTTTGACTTTTGTAAAATATTTAGCTTTGTTTGATCTTGAATCTCTGTATTTAACCAACGAAAGTACCAAGAGATGAAATAAACTGTGTCTAAACTTTTAGATGACAGCAGGTACAGATAGATGCCAAATTGTGGATGACAACACGATGATGAGACCATCACCAGGGTACAAGGTATCCACTATATTGACAAGCCAACATTGACCTAAGCAGTAAGAAACAAGCTGCATATGGAGGACCACAAGGAGAAGAAGAAGACGACCACATAAAGAAGAAGAGGACCACAGAAGAAAGAAGAGGACTGCACAAAGAAGAAGAGGACCACACAAAGAAGAAGAGAACAACACAAAGAAGAAGAGGACCACACAAAGGAGAAGAGAACCATACGAAGAAGAAGAGGACCACACAGGAGAAGAGAAGATCCACTGCAGAGGAGCCATGGAAGAGGAGGTTCCATATCCAATAAAGTAGCAGGCCAACATTAACCAAAGTGGTAAGGAACAAGCTGAAAATGTTACTTTTTTATTGCTATGTTTTATTCTTAATCAATCCAATTAGGACACCATTATTAAATTTAACACTTCCATCACCTCTGACAATTTAGAAGAAAGGGTAAGATACAAATTAAATGTGCACTGAATCCATTGCTTGTGCTCTTTTACAGAACTATTAAGCCATTTTGTTTGCCCTTTTTATTGATGTAGGATGACCACCTTCATTTATGCTCAAACACTGATTATCCAAAATAAGAGGAACACACACAGAAGAAGAGGAACACACACAGAAGAAGAGGAACACACAAGGAAGAGGACCATAAAGATGAAGAGGACCATGCAAAGAAGAAGAGGACCATACAGATGAAGAGGAGACCATTGTATCCACTTAATCAACAAACCAACATTGCCCAAAATGGTAAGAAACAATATGTATAATTACATTTTTTTGATTGCTCTGATTTATTCATAGTCAATCCAAGTAGGACACACATTACACTTCTTGACTTTCTCTTTTTTTTTTTTACAGAATAATTGTTAGACAAGCTTCAATCTCATGATTAGAGAACACATCTATCACTCTTTAGGAGGAGTCCAGGGAAGAGAGATCCACTGCAGCTAGCCATGAAAGCAAAGGTAAGATAGAAATCAAATATGCTAAATCCATTGTTTGTGCTTTTTCACACATGGTAATGACTGGGGCCTCTTTTATGTAAAATCTCTTGTCTTAAAGAAACACTAGGACAACCAGACCCTTACACTGCCGAACGTCTGGAAGATTACATCACCTGCCGGAAGAGTACCAAGAGCTGGACACCAGATAGCCACACAGTAAAGAGGAGATCATTCCCAGAGTACAGGGTGTCCATTATAACAGCAGCCATGCATTAGTCAAACTGGTAAGCTGCATTTGTTGCACTATCACAATATCTGTTTTTTATTCTATGTCTAATTAGAACACATATTTGACTTAAACTTTCTATGTTAATTCACAGAAACCTTGATTGCAGTCTCCCACTCTGTGTTAGGAAGAGATATATATATATATATACCAGCTAAAGCTAGAAGTACTGGGAGCCAGAACTGACTTTGGCCTGCAGGAGATGGTAAGAAGTAAGATCCACTCCTTGTGTTGTGGAAATTGATATGCTTTTTTTCTCACTTCTTGAAATATTTGTACCTTTATTAACTGATATGTACATATTCTGTGTTAAATTAACAGATAAGGGACAAGGCTGATCTTGATTGAATGTTTAAAAGCAGTTCTTCCTACTGATGGAGAATACCCGTCAATGCCTGCAGCCTACTGTAGAAGTGAGGGTAAGATACAAACTCCAATCAATTCACTTTGAGAGATTCCATAACTTTAAATACTCTAATTCTGTTAATTTTTTTTATATTCTTTGATAACAGGGAGTTGGACTAGCCTGGATCTAGGATCTAGTTAGTAAATCCAAGAGCATTCCAAGAAGGTGACAGACTTTTGCCTAACATAAAAGTAAGATATAGCACATAATTTTTTCTTAGTTCTGTTTGAAATCTCTTAGTTCTTTGCCATCAGATAAAGTGTTAACATTCTTTTGTTATTCATCTTCCTTTGTTCTTTGTTAACAGACAGAGAGTTGGACTATCCTTTTAGACCATTCATAGAAGAACCTATAGGACAGAAGAAGATTCCAGATTGTTGGCTTGACCTGAACACTAGAAGGCAAGATACAGTTTTTACTCCATATTCAAACTTTCTCAGTCAATCACCTGAGTCTATATTCAAACTGTCTCACTAGGTCCCCTCAGTTCATACACAAATGCCTCAATGATTTAAGAACAGGATTTAACAACTTACACATATCATAGAATAGAATTTAAAAAAATTCATGCTGATCATTGTTTTCCCCCTTACACAACTGGTGCTGATAATGCCAAAAAATAGATTCTCATAAAATTTTGAGAACAGAAATTTCCTTTTATACTTACAGATAACTACCACATTCACTTTGAAAGAACAACTTTGAAAGAACAAGGTTCACTTTTGCCTTATTTGGCCCTGTGAATTTCTGAAAAATTGAAACTGCATAGTTTTAGTTAACAATGCATTGAATAACACTTGGATCTTTGGTGACTGCGTATCTATCAAAAATGACGTAATTTCCCTGCTAGTCAATGCATTATGTCGTCACGAAATGCATCAATTTCCTCATATTCTGAAAAAGTCTACAAAAACGGCCAATTTTTAAAGCTATTTTTCTATATTTAGTATGGAGCACAACCTCTGATCTAAAATATGCAATTCCTAAATGATAGAACTGTTTCTCAAGATGAAAAGACATGTTTTATTTTTTAGATCAGAGAGTGCACTGATATTATTTTTCTTCACTAAAAGTACTCAATTTTACCCGTTTACCTTGAAATTCAAGAACATTACTATTTCATAGGGCCAGTTCTCCAAGACCTGGGCTTTTAGGAGGAAAATTTTAAAAGGAAATGAAAGCACTAAGTGTCTATTTTATTTTAATGCTTCAAATGGAAAATCAAGTGTTAATCAATCACTTGGTATATCGACAGGCCATTTTATGCATAAAGTGAACCGAGCTCTTTACTAAGTAGGAAACATAACAATTAAAAAAATTTCCCAGAAGTATAGCAGTTTTTGGTTGAGTTGTATTGCAAACTGCATACTCTGGTATCACTAGATTTCATGGTAGTTCCTTAAAAATTTTATGTGAAGTTTGGGTTGCCCCTCATCATCCACAAATGTACATCCTCCATGAATTTAAAAAAAAACAACAGGTTACAGAGTCATCTTTTCAGGTGGCATGACATATATTAGTTTTAGTTCTTGTTATTGAAAAACAGGCATGGAATTTAAATAACGATTAGGCCATAATACAGTAAAACTCGTTTAGTACGAACACGGATATTGCGAATTCACGGATATAGCGAAGTCATTTTGGATCCCCAGCTACATAAATTTAATGAATTTCATATACGGTTATAACGAATTACGGATATAGCGAAGTAATTTCATATGTCCCAACGACTTCGTTATAACTGAGTTTTACTGTAAATATATTTCCTAGAATTCACAGGAACCATTGCGCCCCGATTTTTACTCCTGATATATATATATATATCACCTCAGCCAAAGGCTCAAGTGAGCTTTTCTGATCACAATTTGTCCGTTGTCTGTTGTTGTCGTCGTTGTCGTCGTCGTCGTTGTAAACTTTTCACATTTTCATCTTCTTCTCACTGGGCCAATGTCAACCAAACTTGGTACAAAGTATCCTTGGGTAAAGGGGATTCAAGTTTGTTCAAATGAAGGGCCACGCCCTTTTCAAAGGGGAGATAATAATGAATTAGAGAAAAATTATTGGCATTTTTTAAAAATCTTCTTCTTAAGAACCACTGGGCCAGAAAAGATGAAACTCACGTGGAATCATCCTTTAGGTAGTGTAGATTCAAGTTTTTTCATATCATGACCCCCGGGGGTAGGGCGGGGCCAAAATATGTTTCCGATTCAAAGTTTTACATAGGAATATATAGGGAAAATCTTTAAAAATTTTTTCTCAAGAACCACTGGGTCAGGAAAGATGAAATCTTTGTGTTCTTCCTCAGGTAGCGTAGATTCTTTTGTTATTCATGACCCCCTTTGTTAACAGACAGAAAGTGGCCTATCAAAGTTTTACACCATAGGAATATATAGGAAAATCTTTAAAAATCTTCTTCTCAAGAACCACTGGGTCAGGAAAGATGAAACTTATGTGGAATCATCCTCAGGTAGCGTAGATTCAAGTTTGTTCAAGTCATGACCCCCGGGGGTAGGGCGGGGCCAAAATGGCCGATCAAAGTTTTACATAGGAATATATAGGGAAAATCTTTAAAAAATTCTTCTTGTCAAGAACCACTGGGTCAGGAAAGATGAAACTTATGTGGAATCATCCTCATAAAATTGTAGAACAAGTTTGTTCAAGTTGACCCCCTGGGGTATAAATAAAATGCATTCATTTGAAAGTTTTACAAGGAATATATAATTAAAATCTTTAATAATCTTCTTCTCAAGAACCATTGTGCCATGAAAGATGAAACTCATGTGGAATCATCCTCAGGTAATGATGATTTAAGTTTGTTAAAAATTCATGACCCCCGGGGGTTGCCCCTCGGGGCCAAAATGTCCATAGGAATATATAGGAAAATTCTTTAAAAATCTTCTTCTCAAGAACCACTGGGTCAGGAAAGATGAAACTTATCATGTGGAATCATCCTCAGGTAATGTTAATTTAAGTTTGTTGCAAGTCATTTGATTGGCCCCCGGGGGTAGGGCGGGGCCAAAATGGCTGATCAAAGTTTTATATAGGAAAAATATATGAAAAATCTTAAAAAATCTTCTCAAGAACCATTGAAACAGGAAAGATGAAACTCATGTGAAATTATCCTCAGGTAGCGTAGATTCAAGTTTGTTCAAATCATGACCCCGGGGTAAGGGTGTGGCCAAAATAGCCGACCAAAGTTTTACATAGAAAAATATAGGGAAACCTTTTTAAATCTTCTTTTCAAGTACTTCAAAGCCATGATTAGTAATATATGGAATCATCCTCAGGTAATGTAGATTCTAGTTTGTTCAAATTATGACTCCCCTTGGGGGTTAAAACAACAAATTAGCCCCCCCAACTTAAGTTATTTCAGTTTGATCTGGTATATGTGTTTTTTTCCTAGCTGATGTGCTCAGGTGAGCGCTGTGGCCCCTGGGCCTCTTGTTTTTATTTCTGTTTTTCTTCATCTTAATTCTGATATATTCCTAGATTCTCATCCTCACCCGCCCCGATTTTTTACTTCCGCCTTGATTTTTTTAATTTCTGTTTTTCTTTGTCTTAATTCTGATCGGGATCGGTATTTAACTACCATTCAACTTTCGTTTTAAATCCCGTGAATGTCGGCATGATTTTGACAGCTGAAAAGATGGTACTTGCTATAATATATGTTAAACTAGGGTCATTGGTTCTGAAAGATTGGTGATGATGTGTAGTAAGAGGTAACGGACCTCTACCATGACTTTTATTTGGATATTATAAAAAGATCTGCTGCACCGAATGAACAGGATGGAAAAAAAATAAAATAAAAGCCACCCGCCCGCCTCGATTTTTCAAAAAATTCAGATGAGAATCTAGCAATTTTTTTATTATGGCCTTAATTTAATCCCATTATAATTTCAGGATGCACTTAATTGATAGAAAGTTTTTGGTATATTTATATTTTGTGTTGTTAATTGAATCACTGTTTGTGCTGTTTCTAATTGGAGGGACGCAAAAAAACCCTTAGTGAATATGATTGTTTTTTTATACAGGAGGAAGAGACGAATACCAGACTGACAGGACTCCGAAGAAAGAAAAGCAGTCAGGAGATGGACTTTGTGAATACTTTTGACGTTTGGACATTATACATCTCAGACTTACATAATTATATATGTGTGTTTGTGTGTTATGTTTGAGAGTGTTTATGAGTTTATAAGGTTCATTGTAAATTTTGGTTTTTGTGAGCCTCTTAATGGTATGCTAGCCCTTACTGTTTTCCATTTTTTTATGCATTGTTAAATGATATCATGGCATAATTTATTAACCTCTCTGTGCCCCTATAGCAGCTGCTGTTACTAGTTTAGAACATGAGACAGAATTTTTTTTAAAAAAAGATACCTTTTGATGTATTTTGGCATTTCTGTAGTGTGGGGGAGGGGAGTATGCGTCCTAATCCCTTTTATAGTGAAGTCCGGTTGACACCTCCTTTGAGAATATTCCTCCACAATCCCTGATCCTTGTCTGGATAACATGATTTAATAAGATCTAAGATT